ATGTGCCCTTTCCTGGCTCTCGCTTGGGGCTGAAGCCCATCATAATCGGAGGTGCAAATCAACCAAAGGCAATGGCCAACGCCGGCAATACCGGTTACACATATGTACTATCGATCCTATATGCATCTAACACATACTATCTTTGGAATGCTAACAAGATTAACAATGATAGCCAGTTGGCAATCGGATCTCTTCTACAAATAGGTGTGATCATGGCAATCAGTGGCATGCAACACCCAGTGGATGATACTTCACCGCTTCACCAAGCGACCGAAGCAGGGTCAAGTCATTATGCACCCCATTGGTCCCCTAAAACTGGGATAGTGAAGACGAACAAATTGCCAAGTTCTGCGGTTCCACCGGCTGATTGGGTGTTGAGTTTTGAGGCTTTTGAGGCATACCCCCAGACTCATCCCGCAGCCCGGGTCCGCTGCATTGGTGATCTCCACATTTCGAAGATCCTTCGGCACTGGCGGTTCAAAACCAGGATGACTCTGGAAGGAACGACCACCAAAGAGCAGGATGTAAGTTTGCAAGCCTCAAGAAATCACATACTCCAACCATGGGCTTCCCCCCGGGCTTCCCCCGTTTTGGGAAGTGGAAGACATGCAACTCAGTTCGCACCAGACCTGAAACTGGTTGTAGGTCTTGGCTGTCCTTAGTTGTCCACTGCGGATCATAGGAAAATTCAATGGGAAGATCCTCACTTCAGGCCCTAGTCTACCAGCTTTCCCCATCCTGGGAAGATCCTATACTGTCGATCTGGGAGAATCATCTAGCATTCTTCCCCCATTGGATTTTCCCAACGGACCATTCACCACCCCCCTGGGCCACCTGGGTCACCTGGGCCACCCCGGCCACATCTGTGCAGGCGGACTGAGCAGGAATTCCTCATCCTCCACCAGCGACACTTCTGCGGAGGCCGTGACCATACCCCTCAGGCGGCCGGCTTTCTCCATGGGGCCCCAATGGGATGAGACGCATGTATGTATCATATTAAATATATATATATATATGTGATAGTTTATTTTAAAATTTAAAATATGCGACAAAATGTCAAGAGTCCCAAGGTCTTCAGTCTTAGATGTTTTACCTGTTGCGATCTGCTTTTGTGTTGGTAGATCAACCAAAATCAGCATATTCACCACCAAAACTGGGTTCTCAACTAACCAGCAATGGTGGATTACCATGTTGATGTAACCAAGTTTTATTGCCCTAAAACTCTGGGATGGGTCAAGTCAGGTCAAGTCGGGTACCCAACAGTGGCCACCACATGGTCCACAGTCCACAATTAATTCCGGCCATAAATCCCCTGGATGGGTGAAAAATCTCATAAGATCTCATAAGGATCCAACACACCTCTCATTCCTCTCATGATTGAGGGTCATAGCGAGGATTTCAGAGAAAAAAGAAACTGTTATTTTTTTAATCTGTGCACTTACCCTCTGATAAGCTAACAGTTTGCATAGAAAATCAGCATTTTGAAAAACGGGATGAATTATCGAACTAAATGGGCCAACTAAAGCATACACGAAATTGCCAGGGTACAGCTCCGTGGCTTGCTGGAAATCCCATATTTAGTTCCACGATTTTGATGTCCAACTTCTATAATCCATGATCAATACTCATTACAGTAGTATACAGTAGTTACATTCATATTCCATGGACATTCCATTCTTATCCCATCATTCTCCCACTGGGCTAGGAGGTCACTTGGGCAATACCCATGAAATACCATTGATATCTCATCATATATTCCATTAAATCCCTATTGTTAAAGATCAATTTCATGGTAAATACGCATTAAATACCATGAAATACCACAACTTTGTGGTGGGTTCCCAACAAATACCAGATTATTTCCAAGTTCAACTATGGGTAAAACAATGCCATAAACCACCCAGTTGGGAATGGTTTATACCACCTATAAAAATGGTGATTTTGGCGGGAATTCTGCTGCCATTCACGACGTTGGATGCCACGAGTTGTTGGTTCTGAGCCCAACCATCAACCACTAACCAAAAAAATCCCTGGATATATATAGAGAACATCAGAAACATGTCTGCGGTATATTAGATATAATCACAATTGTATGTATATATATATAATATGTCTATATAATTTAATTTGGAATATGTACCAATAATATAATATATACTTACGTGTGTTGACTTTCCTTGTGCACATCCCTGGCCATGGTACGTCAGCGAGGTGTAGCGCTTGTGATGCAAGATGCCCACGAAGACGTAGCGTGTCTCCTGCTCGGTGCCCATGGCAGAAAACGGTGCCTGATTCAATGGCTGCCCGGCCTGGTAAACATACAAAAAGCTATTGAAAATCACCATTTATAGTGGATTTTCCATGATTTTCCCATTGAAAATGGTGATTTTCCATAGTTTTTTGTATGTTTACCAGAGGCTAAGTGGTTCATCATGGTCAATTCTTCAATTTTGATTGGTTGAAGGGAAGATTGGTTTACCGGACTTTCCCCCATAGTTTCTAATGGAAAATCTATGATTTCCGTAGATTTCCCTTAAACCAATCCATTGAATTGTAAAGTGTAATTCATGTTCAAAAAAAAATGAATACCTGGGTAGATAGTTCACTATCTCTTGTGATCCAGTTTCATGAAGGAACATACTCAATGGTGGGTTACAGTACTATCCAACCAAATGCCAACTCTGATCTCAACAATTTCGCGAATCCATTGGAAATGCCAAGCCAATTCAGCAAATAAAACCAGTTCATTGTCATCATTATGAGCTACTAAATCTTCAAAATCCATCTAAATCCAATTTATTGAGGGAACATGAGGGAACTATTAGATTAAAGTCTACAGTCTGTTGAAACCAAATTAAAAATGCTACTCAGCCAAACGAATCCAACGGAGGCCGCATGTGCTTCTATCAGCAATCCCAATAGAGACTCTCAATCCGGTTGTAGTAACCCCCCAAAAAAGATAGAAAAATAAACTCCCAATTAAAACAGTGATAACTTGACGTTCCACCTTTTCTGGGGGGTTCTATAGTCTCAAATGTTGCTTATTCACGCTGGGGACGCACCATTCCAGCAGTCACAAAAAAATCGGCGATGCTCAACATGATTGGTGACTGGATCACGACGGAAATTCCAGTTGCCCTTCATAGCCTCTGGTCATTTGTTGCAGTCACATGGAAAAACACATCTTTGAAAACGTGACTTATCATGGAAACCATAGCAAACTGTAAATGGCTCATCGAAACCATAGCCATAGCAAACTGTAAAATTACCAGAGGCCATCCTTTGTTTTCCTCAGCTCCAGACATAACCTTCCCATATTTTTGGGGACCTCGAATTTCCCAACCTCCCAACCTCCCACCCCGGCATCTGGGCTGCCCCAACCGAGGCGCCATCTTGCATGCACTTGGCCGCCAGAGGCAAACAACCAGAGCAACACTTGCAGACTCAGCAGGAATATATGTGGCGGCAGAATCTCCCGTGAAAACTGATGGATTTTTGGTCGAGACTGGGAGTTCAACCGTGAAAGGATTGGGATGTAATCGGCAAAAAGCCAGCATTTCATGGTAAATTGGGGATTGAAGCTATCAAAGGTTCTGGCACAAATAGGACACACATCTGGCCCCTCCAAGTTGGGAAACTTATCTTCGCACACCTTGCACTGAGTGGACCCAAATACCCTAGGCCTTGGGGATCCCGGCGTCCACAACGGCCGTCAGGACTGTCTAAGCAACTCAAGCAGCTTCCGCAGCCCAACTGGCAGGGAGGAGTTCTTCCGCCGGCTGATGGGGGGATGTGAACCAGAAAAAAATCGGATTTCACAAACCAAAAAACTGGAATTTGACCAGCAAGGATCATAAACATCAACTAAAACTCAGGATTGAAGCAACCAAAAATGCTGATTCAATTGCCAATTTAACCACCAAAATGAGGCTTCAACATTGGGATTCAAACAAAATCAACACAACTGGCAATACAACCAAACGGTGTGGATGCAACCGACCAAAACAGCTAAAATCCCTCGGTTCTGTGGGGTGAAACCAGCTCCAACCTCAATGTTTCATGGTCAATCTCCATTACAAATTATATCCAATATTAAATCATCATTTTCAATGGTTAAAACATCATTCTTAATGGTGTCATCACTATTTTCATTGGACAAACATGTCATACTCACAAGAAGTTGCTCAGTTGTCATCTGAGTTATGTGACACATTCCATTAGATCATTTCCATGAAAATCCCCATGGTCAATGGTTAAATCATGTTACCCTCTGGTTATTTGTTACATAGCCATGGAAGCCATGGCCCATAGAAATAGATGTTTTTTAAGATGATTTACCTATTAAAAATGATGGATCTTTCCATGGCTTAGTCATAACCAAATGGTAAATCACCATGGTCCGCCTCCATGGTGCCATGGTGCAGCCCCTCACAGCGGTGGCGGCCCGCCTCACAGCGTTGCGCCTCCGGTCCCGAGCAGCTCTTGTCCCCCGCGCAAGCCGCCAGGGCGCGCGTGCACCTGAAACTTCGGCCGGGGGCCGGACAAGCCCCGCAACCGGCGGCACGGAAGGTCGAGTTTGCTGTGGAAAAATGGCCCATGTTTATGGCAATTTATGGATGATTTACCTATATCATCTATATTTACCCATGAAAAAAATGTGATTTTCCATGGCTATGTGAAATAACCAGTGGGTAAATATTACTGGTACGGTCGCAGTTTGAAAAAAAGGTGTGTTGATGGTACAATGTACTGGTAGTTGTTAAAACCACCAACAACTAAAATAGATGTCAAAACTTTAGTTGTTGATGGTCTGGTAAAACCATCAACAACAAATTGATTGAAAGCATACAAAGACGATCAACTAGACATGGTATACCCGCCGAATTTGGATGATTCAAGATACCCACCAACAAAGAATGTGGATGAAGAACAAACCGAAGTGGAGTTCTTAAGGGATTTGAGCAGCAATCATGGGGATTTGATGGAATGTGTAGCCAATCTATCATCATCGTCGTCGTCATCATCCTCACTGTCATCGTCATCGTCATCATAGTCGTCATCGTCATCATCGTCATTTTATTTTCTCATCATCTCATCATCTCATCATCTCATCATCTCATCATCTCATCATCTCATCATCGCCCGAACCCTTCCACATCCTGCAACCCCTCACTTCTGGACAAGGAACTTGGGAAGGATGCATTCTTGACATTCCCCGCTGCAGGCATCCTTTTGCCCAGTAGCAACCTGCCAGAAACACACTAGTGCAGGACTGGATCAATCCCGCGTGACTGGGAACTACCCTGGGAACCTCAGGGTTCGGTTGTTGTCTGATGTTTTGCGGTACACTGCAACAGTGGATTTAGCTGTGTAGGGTTTGGGAACCCTAAGACACTGATACGTCTTTTCAGACTCTAGCTCATGTGAGCCATACTTCAAATCTTGCAGGTGTTTGTACACAACGATTTCATATGGAAAAGCGCCTGGTAAAGCTGTAGACCATTTCTATTCATATACTATCTGAATGGTGCAAGAATAACCAACCTCCATGAACATGTTTAGGCTCATATTCCTAGCGTTTCCAAGCAACTCCCTACATTCATGTGTCTAAAAAAGCGGCAGTTCCCACTATTCTCAGCTAGAGATTCCCCGGCTTTCCTGTTCTGTGAGTTTTTGTCGGTTCACTTTCAGTAATCCCTTCCCCTTAATACTAAACCCCCCTTGAGCAATAGGAAGGGATTACTGTACCAGCCAACACATCCCCAAAAAAACATGTTCCACCTACCCACCTTCCCAACATCCAACGTTGACTCCCCCACCTGGCCACTCCCAACGCAGTTCAAGCACCTCTTACACTTGGCCTGGCGGTTGCACCAATGGCTGGTTTGTTGAGCCAACCATGCCAGCAAAAACAACGATTTTTCATGGGATTTATAGCTGATTTATAGCTGATTTATAGCTGATTTATATTGATTTATATTGATTTATGATAGCCAAGTTGACAAACATGACTTGGCTACCTGTTGGGTTTATGGGGGATATAACGAGCAGTTCATGGGGTTTATAAGCTCACTTAGAACTGGGGGGGGCACGCACTTTTTTTGAGTGAATCAATTGGAATCGTCACCCCCCATGGATGGAAAATCGAAAGGATTTCGAACCATCGTCCGGATAAGCCGAGGAGCTTCTGAAGATCAGGTTTCACTCCAATGGCCCAAGGAAGCCATAGGTAAAGAGATGTTCCCCGAATTACATCTCACCACAACTCTAGTTGTTCGATCTTTTTTTGCTTGTCCTTCCATTCAGATTGTGACATCGCATCTCTCTCCATCCACATCCTGTTGCTTAAGCAGGTCCCAATCCCCAAAACATCTTCAAAATCATGGGGTTTCGTCAATCTTCATAGGGTATACCTCCACTTCCAATCTACTGGAATTAGGGATAGCCCATTTTCAACCAAACCCTGATTGGTGGTTTCAAAACGCCCTGATTTTCCTATGAGTCGTTGGTGACCTTCCAGGATCATTGGGATCATTGGGAACAAAGAAAAAGTGTCAAGACAAAAGCATTTGCAAAGGCACATCCAAAAAAAATGCCGTTAAATATATATATATACAAATAATAATAATAATAATCCAGAAAATCGTCCCAAAAGAAATTTCACTTCACCACTTCACATTAACCCAACAAAAAAAAAACACCAACTCACCGAAGCCTCACAGTCCAGAAAGGTCAACTTGGAGCAGGCCGGATGTCGCAGATCGGGCCCAAGACGTGGACACTGGCGCAGAGGTGCAGGTGAGGTGCCCCAGGGTGGGGTTGGTGGGTTCAACGATCCAAAAAGGCTGATTCAACCCATTGAAAATGGTGATTTAACCCATTGAAAATGGTGATTTCACATCCGAAAAAGCTGATTTCAACTGTTGAAACTGATGATTTCATCAAATTGGGTGGATTGATTCGCATCCACTGGGCTGAAAAAATATGGGATTCATCAGGAGTTGGATGATCTTTCCAAGTGATATCCCAACTTCTGGTCAATATCCCCATCTTGGGATCACACGTTTCGGACGGTCCTCCGTCGCAAGCCAAACCCAGCTGTTGCAGATATGGCCTGTCTGTACATACCTTCAGTTGATTCACTGCTGGTAACTAGTCTACCTTCTACGCCTTCTTCGGTTGTAACGTGTTGCACGAGTATGCCATCCTTCCTGCATGTCTTGTTGATCTCTTGGGTCATTTAGCCAGGGTATAATCGGGGTCAAGCTTGGCACCATAGGGGGTCCAGTTTGGGTGGCATCATCGGGTAAGGAGGGAGTTGATGATTGCTTCTTGGTGTGGAAACGCGGGTCTGTGCGCAAAACCTGTTTTGCTATGTCCGCATCCCAAAAAACGAACGCTGCGAGCTTGCTGACGCTTTTCAGGAAATAGTGGCCTACCAATAAGCGTTTGTAGTGTTGTGATGGCTCGCTCAAAAGCATAAACCTGCCTGGAAAATTCAATGTCTGGAGTGTTAACTTCTAGTTGCAACGGTTGGAACATGGGGCCATGTCCACCTGTATTGATAACAATGCCTTTTTGCACTGAGTATAACCAGGACAGCGTGAGCTCATACCATGTGACTCCTGCACCCAACGGGTCTGTCTCTCGGGGCCAGACAACATGTTCCAGCCAGTGAAGGATGGTTCGACTATAGGCGGAACCCCAAAGTGAGGCTCCTATGGCTTCGTCATCATCTGCTCTGAACTCAAAACGGTCTCCGGCTTGTGGCCGCCAGTCTTTCAAAACCTGTATTTGTGAAGTCCACGTACGCGTTCCATCTCCAATTGGTTCCTGTATTTCTCGCATTTGAAACTGTTTGGCTCTCTCCTGTTGGAGATCATAAAGGTAGAGCCAATGCTTCCTGACACCATCAACTTGGTTTTTATGTTCTGAGACATCCTCATGCAAAGGTATACTGTGCTGGAGGTGCTTCAAGGCTGCCTTAGCTGTTTGATCTGCTGCTTCATTTCCAAGTTTGTGCCAAGTGGTTTCAATATCATCAGCTGGTATGGCAAGTGCATGGGCTTTCACTTTACGAAAAACAATTTGAACACGCTGGAGTTGATGCCACAAATGATAGAGAAGGTCATAGTTCGCCAGTTTGTGAAGGTCTTGAATCCTGGTCGTGTGCACTAGCTTATCGACTGTGTCCAAGACATATTGACTATCACTATAAACCGTGCATGATATTTGAAGCATAGAGACCCATAGTGCAGCCGTCAGTTCGGCTCGATCAATAGTCTGCTGACCGGCTGTTTCTCCAACTGCAAAAACACCAAAAAACCTTGGCAGCTGCTTTGTGCTTTCATAGTGGTGAATGGCTCGCATTTTATCTTCCTGGCTACATGGAGAGGCATATATGATTGCAAATGCCGTACGTCGGTAGTTGGTGAGATTTGAGTGATCACATGTTCCATCCACGTAGAATGTAGGGTAGTGGTGATGAGAAGTATGGTGACGGATCTCGGCCAAGATGGTAGGATCAGGTTGGGGGGACTTAACATTCTGGTAGTACCAGTTATGGAACTCAAACATTTCACTTTGGTACACTACTGGAAATTGTACGTGGCATGTATGTAGTTCTTGGATTTGGCGGATGTGGTCGGCATGCTGGTCACGGACATGTTTCGTTGATGAGCATTCCAAAGTTCTGTGCACGACCGTGTCTGTGATCCCCATCTTGGGACCTGATCGTCTTGGAGCTGGCGCGAGGCATTTGCCGCCTGAGGCTCTGGAAAGGCTCGTGGATCGAAATGGGATGGTCAAGTTTTTGAACCCAGACTCAATGGATGAATCAAGCCGTAAAGGCTGAGCCATGGTTACCATGGTTCACTGTGAGGCTTGTTGGTTTACTTGGGTTACCACCATGGGGATATTTCACCGAAAGGGATACACGTCACAATCTTACCACAAGCATCTGGCTCTAAGATGTTTAATCACGAACTGCTCAAAGCATTGATCAACAGAAAAAAGAAGGTAAGCACCAAGAATCAATTAGTCTGGGTAAATTATAATAATTCACTAACCTGAATCTTGCGGCCCATTTGGGGATGATTTCCCTTATCAACTATGATTCCAGTGAGGGAGAACAGTGAGGTCGTGAGGAAATTTACCCAGGTTAGTTGGAGATCAAGCAAGCATCGTCTGTTTTCCAAACATTTAAATTTCATGATTCAAGGGTTCCAGCTCAGAAGCTCTCACAGTCTATGCATTTGTCCAAGAATACGGGACCTCTGAAATGAAAATGCGTTATTATCATTTGGTCATTTGGGTATTCTCCATTCTGGAACAAATCCATCTGATATTGTTGATGAAATGTGTGTGTTTGTATGTAGATACATCCCACTATATCCCCGTTGATATCTGATCAAAAGGTTCGTCGTTGTTGGATCCCATTCTTGTGCAAATCCATGTTGAGTGAACCAAAACATCATGGTTAAAAGAAAATAATATTGTCCCATCAAAAGGGAAAAACAAACTGCTAAATCCACCATTTTTGCTCTCCCACTCCACCTGAAGCTTTCGCGGAGGTTCGCCCATGTTCATCGATCCAGGCATCTGCGGGTGCCATCGGATGTTCAAAACACAGGGATGTCTAAAACCCTTACGGCTTTACCCAGCAATAATGGGGACTTAATGGGGATTTGCACAGTAGAAACTAGTAGAATTATATCACATTTATCACATTTATCACATTTGATCACATCCATACATGGGCCCTCATTTTGTGAAAAGTTCCAATACCAAGGCAGGGTGTATTCAACCACCGCAACTACGAAACTCGTGGGATTTCTTTGACATAAAACAGCAAACTTCACCAAAATCACCAAGCTTCACCATCCATCTCCAACCATTTCCCATTTCCCAATCACTATGCTTAAATCCTAGTTTCTATCTCCAGGTTCGTCCCCTCCCCATCCAGCCTCCCCCACTAGGGATCCACTGATTCCATCCTTGAGGCTCTGCGCTTGTCCATTGGGATCCATATTGGCCGTGGGCCGCAGACTGCTGGGCATGCCATCGCTGATGGCGGGCGCCACACCGGCCATGCCCAAGGACTCCGGGCCGTCGAAGGGTGGAGGACCTTGGCCGGAAAATAACGAGTCACCGGCTCAGAAAATCCACCAAGAGTTGGTATGTCTTGCACATCCCAAAAATAGAGAGGTTTTTTGGGGGGTGGTGTGCACGTGTTCAAAAAAATATGGGAATGGGCACCGTTGTAGGTAAAGTGACGGAGTTGGGTCTGGATCAAATCAATCCTGCAACCTGCAGATTTGGAGCTCCAACTAACTTGATCCAAACCCCCATGGTAGCCCGGCCCTGCCTAGGATGTGCCCTGAACTCAGTTCTTGGTTGGCTTCAACCTTGCCATGACATGTGGATGTACATGAGGCACACCCCGGGCAGTTGCAACTTCAAAAATGGGCTGTGAATTGACCAAAAGAACCAATTTGGCTGCAACAGCAACAAACAATTGGGATCTACCCGGTAACAGAGCACAGTGGGAGTCACCAGAATGAGCATGGGATCAATCTTCATTTGTATCTGCACATGGGACTAGTGTAATTTCATTGTATATAATTACCGATACATTCATAACATTGGTAGCTGGTGAAGATCATCTAAATTCGATTGCTTGCGTTCGGATGTAAATTCCTGTAGTACCTGTTGGCCTTCTGGCGATATTTTCTTGGAAAAAATGCCTCCAAAATGTGGTAGGTTCACCATAATCTCCAACACCCCAGGCCCAAGCTAATCATCTCCAACACCCACCATAGCCTTGAATCTCAAGGTGCTGGAATCACCTCAACTCACCCCACCGCGGATGACAAACAACGGCATCCCTAAAGTTTGGATCACAAAGTTCTACGAAGGCCAGTGAAAGTGTGTGGACTACCCAGAGCTGGTGAAAAATCAAATGTCAACTCCTGGAAAGTCGATTTTTCACCAGAAAAATGTCAAAATCCAGGAAATCCTTTGGGAGGGCTGCTTCCCCCAGTTGTCAAACTACATGGCTACATGAATTACTTCCCCACTTGTACATGCTAACAGGCCCATCATCTCTGGCAGGTGTGTCCCATTGAAATATAGCCCTCACAGACAGAAACAGGGAACAGTTGAACAGCATTGAGAAGCGCAAAATCTATTTGAGGGTCACTTTTTTGGCAGCAACATGACCGTCTCATTGGCTGCAATGTGTTGCCACTGTTTTGATAAGTCTTTGACAATCCAAGTCTTGTTGGTTTTTCCATGTTTTTCCATATGTGTGTTTGCCTAGATGGGTCTCTTGGATGTTTAAATCCATATCCCCCCCAACTTCACTTCCCCTGATGCCCTTCGATTGTCATTAAATCTTCGGCTGAATCCTAAATTTTCCGTATAGCATTATCATGGCCGTTTCCAGCTTGAAAACAATGAAAACAATGAGTAATTCAAACTACTACAACCCTTCTGTAGCTCAGTTGGCCTTGATAAGTAGAGCACAATTCCCTGCGATTTTGTGATTGAATCCTCCCGGGATGCTGACGGCGTTCGATCCAATCGTCGAAGTTGCTCAGATCGTACCTCTCAAGTTCACCAAGTTCTGGGTCAAGGGCCCAACGCTGAAGGAAACGCTCCAGAACAGCAAATGTATAAATACTCACATGGATGAAACTAAAGTAAAAAAAAAGTGAGTCGAATCATGTAAATCAATTTCTTCCAATTCCCCAACCATCCTAACCATCCCAACCATCCCAGCCATCCCAGCCATCCCAACGGCGCCAAAAAACACCACCCGGGGTCACACGGCTTTGGTCGGGAGATCATCGTATCTCACCAAGACTACCACAGGATCGGAGGCGTGAACCTCCACCTGTGGCCACGGGCGTGAACCTCACCATGTGGGGATGGGTCCGAAAAAAAGGACGGCATTGGGGTTCAACAATGGTTTACTATACATGATCATTACATAAAATGGCTTACATCATTACATTCTAAACATGGTCATTACATAAAACAGAGAACCAGTCCCTCAGTGTTCCCCTGCTGTGGTCCCGGGACAGTCCTTGATGTCGGCTTTCCAGTTGGATGATTTAGATGATTTATGAGCACAGCCTAGACCAAGACCCTGCCTTCAAGTAGCCACCAGGAAACTTGGGTGGAATGTGCACCTCAAAATCATCTCACCAGGAGGGGGGACTGGAAGCTTTTGTTTATGACAGAGGTCTTCTAAAAAAAAAACATCAGATTGGGAGATGCCTGAGGATACGCCTCAAAGGTACCAACTGTTTATATGTCGCATCAGCCAACAAGAGTAGTACCTCGTTGGTATAGGTCATGCAATCACATGTACCCCATCCATTTACCGCAATGGTGCGGGTCGAAACACCTGTTTTCCTGGTGAAGATGCCAAAAACGGAATGGACCATGGTGGAGTTCCAATCTGTTTCTTTTCAGATAATCTGGTCTTGATATCGCAACCACAACCCAAAAACAAACTCACGCTCTACGGCAGCAGATCTCCAGGCCCCCGAAAGTCCGCTGAGCTCACCCTGAAGTATTGGTAGTGCCCAGGGGCCAACTGCAGTCCAAAGGCCGAGACAAATGGCTGGTTTTTGAATGGCTTTTCCAAGGGTTAGCAATCCCTATATGGAGCTTTCCATACATGGGGGGGTACCCCAAAATGGATGGTTTATCATGGAAAATCCATCAATGGATTCCCAGAAAACCTCCTAATATGTATCCTGGTTTTGAAAAGTGGGGAACTCCAGGACTCGGACCTGGATCCTGAATGTCCTAAAAAACCTTTGGGTAATTGGAAGTGGTGAAGCTCAATGGTGACTTTCAGACTTTCATCTTGGATGATTGTCAAAGTCTCACTATGATGATCTTGAGTACAACTAGAGATGCTCTACATCTACCAACCGTTTGGGTGTATCATAAAATGTGCTATCCCCCCAACTACCCTCTGGTAATTTGTTACATAGCTATTGAAAATGGCCATTTATAGTGGATTTTCCCATTAAAAATTGTGATTTTCCATAGCTATGTTAGTTTACCAGAGGGTAACCACTTTTATTGTGGAATTGATGTTCAACCGGTGGATTTGGGGGGTAACCTCGACAAGTTCCAAGCCACTTGACCATCTCAAGGCCAAAAAACCATGGGTGCCACTCAGCCCTGGAGGTTCATGCGTTGATTAACTCCTCTCCGTTGCTGATTTCCCCATCATTTAATAATCACATACCCATAATATCCCATAATTCTTCTTGGTTATAGTAATGCCCCAAAAATCCAAAGAAAACACTGCACCCCAAAATGTTGCAGAAATTCCCCACCTGAAACTCATAGCGACTGTTGTGCAACACTTCCATCTTGCTATGCTCGCAGGCAGGGCCCGCGTGATGGCCTCAGGTGATTCTCCCGCATTGGAAAGGAAGACGCCACGGATCAACGGACGCCAGTGGGGAGTTCTCTGAGACTCCAGCTATCGCATTGACATTCCCCACTCCTGCTGCACTTGCCATGTCCAGAACATTCCTGGGCGGGCTGGCTGTGCCTACTGATTAGCTCAAAACTGCGTCTACTCATGACTCTGTGGTAATGGACAAGATCTAAGAGGGGAGCCTAAGAAACCAGATGTTATTTTTTTCATATGCAATTCTGACCACTTTTTCAGTAGCCTCAGTTTCAGCGAATTGGCCATCTGTGTTTACTCCCAATATAATTTCTGGCAGGAAACACGAATCCCCAGTCTTGCACAGCATCTCCATAATGATCCCCCTACGAGTCATGGTCAAATTGCCTGGGATGAATGGGGTATGGTGATCCATCCCACAAGGGGAACGCTATTAATGGATTCATGACCATCTCCCTATTGATGCCCAAGTTATCCCACTTTTCACCACAGATAAATTTAATTTATCCATTGATGCCCAATTTATCCATGTGGTGAATTTTGTTTTGCCCCTCTTTTAAGGCTTCTGGTTCCAGTTTGATCAACGAGCTGCGCCTGCCCTTGTTGGTTTATACTTATTGGTGCTTCGACTGCGAACAATACTCTCTGGCAATTTAAGATAGCTTTGGAAAACGGAGTCGTGTATAGATGATTTACCTATTTAAGATGGTGAGTGGTGATTTGTCATAGCTATGTTGGTGTACTGGAGGCTATTGTTGATGAAATGCACACAAGAAGTCTGAACAATGTGTTTGTCCTGTTTGATATGTCAGCCTTGGTGTTCACCCAGTTCTATCCACATTTTTTTCGATGTTGAAACGAGTTTGTCTGACAAGAACCATGGTTAATCATCATTGTCCAAATCAAAACTTGCCATTTGGGGTGTTAAATGCCCCGTTTGAAGACACACCAAGGGATCGTATTATCCCATTCGATCGCAAAAATGGCTAAATCACCCATTTTCCAGACACACCCAAAACATCATACATATAGAAAGTTCTTTAGTTCTATCCCAGCTGATCTCCATAATATCCCCAAAACCACCCATGTTTATTGGTCAAGTCATCCCCCATCCGCAACGCTAAGCTCGGCACCGCTAAGCCACTGGCGGGCAGGCTCGGACAAACGGCCGAGGAGCGCAGGTGGTCCTGGAAGCCGATGGAACTGGGATCTTCATGTCTTTTAAATGATGTTCAATGTGTGTTCATATTGATTTTGTAGTTGTATATTTATCTATGTTTATTTATTCATTGAATTATCTATGTGTTCAATTATTTATCTATTTATCTATCTATCTACCTACCTATCTATCTATCTATTTATTCATTTATTTTATTTCTGTGTTTGTTTTTTATTTATATTCATTTATATATACATAAAGATATACGGTCCATATTTGTATATATAGATATATACTCAGAAATATGTATATGTATACATGTTGTTGATTATTGACCATAGTGTATATGTACTCAGATTGTTTTTTCATTAACATTAGAGTGGTATTCAAATCTGTACTGACAATTATGCGATGGATATAAATCGACTATCAATCTAAGTCGATAATGATAATTCTTCCACCTCAAATGTTGGGTCATTTTGTAATAATTGCTCTAATGTCCCTTTCTAACTATCCTGTAGATGACGACTTTGTGATTTCATAGTGTTTCAGCCAACTAAACCTTATAGCCTAAGACCCTATTTTCTCATGAACATGAGGTGAAAGTACCTGGCGCTAAAATACCCAATTCGACCAACGATTCAACAGTGAAGGGTGTCGGCATGCCATGGAAACAAGTCTGGTATGGGTCGAAAATGAGGTGCTCATGGACTGACATTTCTAGGATCTGGCACTATTGCTGATGAAAGGCTCGCCTGAAATTTATAGTGACTTTGGGTTGGTTCCTCTATTTGGGTAACATAACCATTTCGACAGGTAAATTGTGTGGTTTAGGTATATAAATTTGCACGTTTGAACCCAAAATATATTGAATTCCTTGTAAAACAAAATTTGACGACGAAAAACAAAAGCAACAACCTGTAATCACTGGGTCTGCTTCCATGGAATTAGATACAGTATAAAGATGCTCAAAACAGGTGCTAGATTATTTCGCACAATAGTTGTGCTCAGAGGTTTCTAGTTTGTGAAGAGCAACAAATTTCAACCATCTACACATTTCAGGGATCATCCCAGCCAACACCAAAAGAAAACTCCTATCGCAGTCAAAGAGGAGACCTTCAAGATGTGAACCATGCCCTTTCTTCCATCCTCCCAATACCTCAAGTTCATCCAACCCCAACTATTGGATCCTGCCGCATCCCAGCCGCTGGGCTGCCCCGACCCAAAAAAAGAGGTCAAAGGCCACGACATACGAACATCGCAGCGACAGCACGGCCTTCAATTCCTCACGTTGTGGGTGGTGTCCCACCAAAATGCTGTCCTGTTGACCGGTCTATTTTCCTGGATTTTTCTTCAACTTCCCAGAAGAATTCCAGCATTTCTATTGTTTATCTTCAATATTATCTCACTTCCATTTTGTTTTGTGAACAGTTTGCATCTAGTTTTTTACACTTTCTTTTCACCTTGTGAGGCGTTTTCTGTTTCCTTACATGGTTGTGACGGTTTGTAGCTGTTTCCTCGTTGTTCTTCTCTGACTTTCGCTCTTGCATTCCATTGTTTCCCTTGTTTTGTTGCTGCCATTTCTGTAATTTTTGGAACTGCTTCTTTTCTTCTCGCACTTCCTTGTCATCTAGTGGGCGCTTTAGCTGCTCGTCTTAGAGCGTATGCACAGTCCTATCATTCCCTACCGTTTCTAGTGTTAGTTTAGGTTCTTCTCACTATTGATTGCTGCCTTGTGCGAATTCATCATGCATATATACATATACATACAAATATACAAATATACATATATACATATATACATATTATTATACATATGTACATATATACATGGCACATCCCAATATCTGCCAGTCTCAAAACATTGTACGATTTACGGGCATCCATCCAATGGGAATCCTTCTGATGGGTCTCCCATAGATGAGCAGGCCATGGCACATACAATTTTTCCTAACATTCCATGGCACATGATATGGAATGGAAAGGATGATGATATGGAAAATCATGTATGTGTCCCTATTTCCATATCATCATCCTTTCCATTCCACATATGTTTCTGCAAAATTGCTGGTAGAATTCCATATATGGTAAATGTTTCTGGAATTGCACATACTATTTCCACTTCCATATCTGTTTCTGGTAAATTGCTCGGCCTCTGCTGCGAAATTTCGCACGTTCATCAGACCCAGGATTCCTCCGTTAGGACCTGCAGTGTCACCATCGCTATGCCACAGGTGGAATGGGAAAACAAAAAACTTGTGATCTTCCGTGAGAAAAAACATGAATCTCCCAAAGGGATGTGCTCAGATTCGATGATCCTGAGAATCTGAACTTATGTTGTTTAGGGGTGTGTGTGAAAACTCTAGATATTCAATTCAGTTTGGGGTGCTGGTTCAACACAGAATGGTTCGAAAAACTTGGGTGGAGAAACCCACTCCTCAACTAGACCATGAAACGGTAAATTGTTCCTGTCCAAGCGATTTACTGAAATGCCAAAACCAAGTTGTTTGTGGTTCAATTTTATTCGTTTTAGCCCCAGGGATTGCCAGCAATTGTTGGGTCCACTGTCATTGGGCTACAGTATATCCCCTGTTGTTTGGGGCATCAATGCACAACGCACTTCCATTAATCCATATGCAATAAACACCGTATCAACCTCGGCAAACATTCGCTTTGTTTAGCACTTTAGCACCTATAGTTGTACAATCCACTTTTCTTGACGGTTCCAACGTGAGAGACCCACTGCATTCTTGGTTTAGTCCCCAACTGATGGAGTCATGAAATCATCCTGGACCATTTCTCCCACTGAGAATCAAACCCAATCCTTTGGCCGTGGCATAGTGGACCCCAGCTTTGTCCTCGCAGCATCAATGATCATCTTGGGAGGTTTACCAAGGTTGGAAGCGAATTGCTGATGTGAAACCATTCTGCTACACGCTTTGAATCGCTTTGATACATTTTTTTTTGGTTTATGAAACAAAATGGGAACAGAAAACAGGACACGGCATGGACCAACTCAACTTGTGTTTTGTTTGTTTCAACAATCTGTGGGTCCCATGTTCCTCTGCAAGAAGTTCTGCGGACCCCGTGTCAGTTTTTGGAGAACTAGTAAGTCTGCTGAGACAAAAAACATAATGAGTTTCTTTTCTTCGTGTTCAATCGGCAGTTATGGACAGAGATCGTTCCTCAGACATGCGTTCGAACCAAGTATTTTCCCCACATACGAACGAACCTTTTTGAACAAACCTTGAAAACACAATACGCGAAAATCGAAACAGCCACTCTGCCAGAGCAGCTGGAGCAGCCACACAACCGTTCGGTCACTCTGGCAAAGTCGCTGAGCCAACCCTAAACCAGCCCTAAGCCAACCCTCAATAAACTCTAAACCAATCGTAAACCAACCTTAAAATCAAGCCGGACCAACCCGAAACCAACCTGAGACAAACGGTAAATAAACCTTAAGCTAACCCCCAAGCCAATCCTAAACAAAACAACCCTACACCATCTCCAAATAAACGATACACTAACCCTAAACCAACCCTACACTAGAAAACCCTAAACGGACCTAAGTAAGCATAAAGAAAGCTTAGAGGAAGCGTAAACAAACCCGTTACCGACACTGAATTCCTAAACCAGCCTTAAACCTTGAAGCTCGAAGCCTCAAGAACTTTGGGACAGGTGCCAGGCTGAAAGTTATCAGGCTTCATGGGCCCCCCCCCACAGGGTTTTGTCAGGTTTAGGGTTGTCAGGCTTGGAAGCCCCATAAGGGCCATATCGAGACCCGGGTGCAACAAAATATCGAGTAAAATATCGAGACCAGGGCAAAATGCGTTGACCAGGGTGTGACCCCGAATAAAGGAAATGGATTTTGAGCATTCTGCTATGCTATTGCGTGGATTTGACTTGGGCGCCACTTTCTGTCTTACAGAAACCAACCCTAAACATGTCTAAACAGGACCTAAACTAGCTGTAAATATACCCTAAACCAATCCTACCGCCAACTAGAAAAAAAAACAAACTAACCCAGCTGCTTATGTATTGAACTACTTCACCATTCGACCAAGGCAGACAGACCAAGTGGTGACCACCAGGCCCTGACCTCCAACCAATGTGAAAAGGTGGAAGATTCATGGCCACCAAAGGACCTTAGAAACGAAAACCCCACCAGAACCGCCAGAAAAACCAGGGATGCATCAATCGGTCCAATCTATTCGACCCAAAATGTGCAAACAAATCTGGCATTTTGCGAAAAATGGGGACCTGTTCCAAGGCAGCTCCGACTCATTTCTGATTTTTTAGCACTCATGAAAAATGGTGACTTCAGCTGCTTGTGAATGATTATTTCCCGAACGATGCCATCTCCAAGACTAAGAAACAACCCAATACATGTCATATGTTGTTTCGTGAAGCCTTCTACTGTCATTGGTGATATCTCCCCCACGATTGATAACATCCCCACTGTTTGCGGGATATGTTCTTGGAATCTCTGCAATATCCAAGTTGATTAGTTACGTGTAAAAAGGCATATCTTAAAATGTCACGAACCACGAGTCCACAAATCAATCCTCTCATTTGTTCAGGCTCTGACTACACCCATGTGTCCCAACCAGCCATCCAAAATGTTAGACAACAAAATCACCATATGCTATTGTTTCAACCCTGGGTTTTCAACCAATGGCTGAGCAGTGAAGGAATCCCTCTGTCATTCCATGAAAAACTCGTTGAGTTTCAGAACTGAAATCCTAGTTCGTGGATAACATCATGATTCCCAATAAATGAAGGGTAAATGGCATTAACTCTCAAACGACCATAATAATCAGATGTATCCCCATATGCTTGATGCCTAAAAACCAGAATAATTTCCCAGTATACCACAATTTGAGCTGGTTAAGTCACCATCGTTCATGGCTAAATCCCCATTCAATGACTAGAAAACATCTAACAACAGGGCTCTTGAACACCATTATGACTATCGTCCATTACATAACCCATAATATCCCCAACCGAAGAATTTTCAAAAGGTAGTATAGCCCCTAATCATCAACCATCCTGTTTAAATGTTGTTCCCATATGTTTCATTGTGAAATCACCTATCAATGATGCTGGAATCACCAACCCACACCAACCTCTCAAAAAACCTGTTGGTGCCAAGAGAAAACATTACTTCAATACCCATCACAAGTGATGATAGGTATAATCAGCACCAAAAAAAACTGTGAATATACATACATATATATATATACATATGTGTGTGTGTTATGTGTATAATATGTATACACTGCCCTTGGTGAAATACCCATTCATCAATTTTGTGGGTGGTATTAACCATCCCCAAATGATAGGTGTATGGCAGGATTTCCCACACCCACAACATACCCATGGGTACCAATGGAATCACCAAGACACGGCATACTATTGGGATCCACTGAGATAAAGAGCAACGGATCCGCACCGCGCGAGTAGCTGTTGAGGGTCACCTTAAAAAAAACCCGAAAATGGGCGGAAAGTTGTGGGAAGTCTGGAAGAACTGGTGGAAAATCTGAAGCCAAAATCCTGGAAAATCTGAGAAAAATGTGTTGATTTGACACAAGACTGTGAGTTTGAAGCTAAAGAGATGTGTGGATTGAAAGAGCTGAAGCCGCCGGAGTGAGAATCCAACACAATCTAGAAAGAAAGGCAGCCAACCTAAGAGTTCAAGCCATAAAAAACGGGGGTTTGTACATATGATATATATATATATATTATAGATATATTTATGCATCCACGTGGGATCTGGTTTTTTGGAATTCTACTGTAATTGCAATGCCCTTACCACATGGGTCATTTCACACCTGGTACCCAACGTTCATCAAAAATGGGACTGCTGGGCCGAAGAAAAAGAACTGTCGGATTCTTGGGGAATGGACCCATCCGCAAGGATATACCCCTGATAATCCCCTGATAAATGGTAGTACCCACATGGTGCATTCATCATCAGGGATTCTATTCGGTCCAAGCTTCAACTACATCGGCAGGACTTAAGCAGTTGAAGCGAAGGAACTTTGCCTCCCATGTTGTTTTGATGTTGGAGACATCCAAAGCAACAAATCAAACTGACCTTGCAACGATCAACATCCATGACAACTGGATTTGCACGAATTCAAAGAGAACTGATTCTGACCAAGCCACAAACTGATGTGAAAACTGATCCTTCACGCAAAGGAAAAGTAAAAAGTTGATCACAAATCCATGAAGGGGAGAGAGCGGCTGGAGAGTGACGATGCCAATAAGGGTACTGCAAAGAAAAAACCATGAAACCAGATGTTGAATGCCACAAACAAACAAGGCAGAAATAGAAGAGACATCGAATGAAACGGTATGATTCCAATAGTTGACCTGTTGCCAAACCAATCGGCCATTTCGCCAACCGGAGATTATCCCAATGTAGGTTAAGAAAAAAACCTATTCCAATAGATTATCTCCAGCTTCCATCCATTGTTGCTCGAATAGTGGAAGTGAACGAACCTTTTTCGGAACTGGTCATTCCAAATTGTGACAGTGAAGAGATCCGGTACTAAATCAGCTTTTCTGGGGGTCGTATTTAACTAGATTCAGTGACTTCACTTTTGAGTTGATTTTCTTCTTCCGCAACTTTTTTAAGGTGATCAAAAACAACTTTTTGGAACCCAGATCCTGTCGCCCAGCGACAACCACCGCGGGAATATCCCCTAAACATATGGCCAAACATATAGTACGTTTACGTACCTCCATTTTTGGATCCTGAAATTTCCATTGATCCTATTTAGAAAGTGCCAAATGGGGGTGACAAGCCACTTGGGCACCTCTCCAACTCCCACGGTGACTTGTAAGTCACGTTTCGGCGACAACACCTGCTCCTGGAGAGAGATCCCTGCCGAAAATCCACGCAGTTTTGTGGTGGTTGAGTCATTCCAAGGGATGGTAAAGCTTGAATGATGGTTTGTGATGAGAATTCTCTATCAAATCCCTCATAGTAAGGGATTCCCAGTAATTCCAAGGGATGGTTTTTTGTCATTCCAATCACTTTTGGGATTTCTTCAAAGCTAACGAGAAACGAGTCAACGAGCAGTACCAGTCACTGCGCCAAAATCATACCACTTTTATTCATGGATTTTTGGGATCCCCGAGTCTCACCTGGGACCTCAGTCGCCATCCGTTGCCAGGCCCAGTTGCGAAAACCAGCACTGCTTATTGAGCCAATTAGACACTTGCCCAAATTGGAACACCGTTTCCCCCAAAAAAAAATTGACCTACTACCGTCATTTCTGAAACCAAAGAGGGCCCTAATTTTGTGGTTCTGGGATATAATAATCACCCCGTGATGCGGGTTGGGAGACACCTACGGCACCCAGAAATGGCTCTGGATTTCGTTTTCTCCGTCGTTTAGAGATTAAAATATGCCGTTGTTTGTCTTTAATTCCAGGAGCTAGCCACTATAGGCACCCTCACCGATGGATCCTGCACTTGGACTTGTGCAAGAAACTGCGAGAGCAGACCTTAGCTGGGCAGATCTCTATCCCTGTGAGGTGGCCGATCTCAACAAAGTGATGAACATTTTTTTTGTAGGGTTGTAAATTGTCTTCGTTTCAGGCAGGGACAGCCCACTCTTTGAATCAATTTCTGAACAAATTCCAAAACGGAAAGACTATACATCTATGATGATGTATGTATGAGTTCAAGGTAGCGCAACAATGGATAAAGCCCCTAAGGTGAAAAATTGACTGCAATCTGTAGGTCTCAGTTTAACCGTTTCACATTCAAGGGCACCTTGGTTTGGGGGCATCCAATCTCCTAGTGTCCGGCCGAATGATTGAGAAGTTAACAAGCCCCGGGCCAAAACACAGAATCTGTGAAAAACGCATTGGCGTTTTCAAGCACAGTGGCGGCCACGATCAGGGCGTGGGAAATTGCAAGTCACTTCTGAAATTTTCGGCCACCAAGTAAAACCTTCACACTAGATGTAACGTTATCAGAAGTGCCCCTAAAAACAATTATTTCTGTTTGAGAGAAGGATGCTGCAAATTTTTGTTATCGAAAGCCCACGGATCTTGACTGCATCCATCTCTTGATGTCTGAGCCACAAAATTCTGAAGCGAATGGTTCATGAAACTCTATTCAGAATTGTTTCCTGAACAAGAATTTTATGTTGTCTTTTCTATCCCATGGTTAGACAGAGACCCAAAATGAAAGGAACACGTTTCCCAGTTTTTTGCTGACAATTTGGTGATTTGAGTGTGTGTGTGTGTGCCCATCCCGCATGTTTTTTGAAATTCTGGATCAAGTCTTCTCAAAGTAAAAGTTTACATAGAAAGAAGCAAACCGGGGAACCAAAAACTGATCAATTCAGCACATCTCGTTTTCGGTCGACCTGGCGAACCAATCAAACCAGGGTCACTTAGGAGATAACCCATGTTCGATTGGATATCCATGTCAGCTAGTTATCGAGGATACAAAATCATATTTTGCTGAATCTCACATGTCAACAAATTCAGTCCCCATCATCATTTGGGGGTTAGGATCCCACTCGCGTATCTCATGTGTTGAGTTCCTACTTCGATGTGCAGCTATGAATGGGCTATTGTTTTGACCACGGTGTACCATGGCTATAAGCCCTTGAGGTTCCTAAAACTTAAGATATAGAGATCACTAGAACTGAAATTACCATGATATAACCTGCGCACGGCATCCAAGATTGGCTAAGTTGTGGATTGCTAGTCAGCCACTTGAATCTAGGGGACAACCTGAAATTACTCTGCCGCTACAAACACACTGTCTGGAAGGATAGTTGTAGTTCTCTCTTGCCAATCCAATCAGCATCTCAAGAGAACATCAAGATATCCTATTATTTCCTATTATATCCTATTGTCTTATCAAATCATTTGATAAGCCCCGAAGTGTTGATCATTCGCACCTTCATCGCAGAGTTTACTATCATTTCGCCTTCAAAATGACCATGAATGGTTGGTATCAATATTATTATCGCACAATTTGCTAGCAATTTGGAATGCGAAGACGTGCGAATTGCCCTATACTGCTGAACTACGCTCAGCTTAGTCTTGGGGATGGTAGGAAAAATGTTCGGAAGTATCTGATCCATCAAGATGCCTCATGTTCTTTTTCACGTGCACTTGCTGGCATCTTGGGCCAGTCTGGCATCTTGGGCCAGATCTCAACAACTTAACAACCGCCCGCCCTCTTCGCTCTCCTCACCAGTCGGACAGGGAATAAAGCATGTGGAGATGGCCAGACCCCTACAGAGAAACACCCGGGGATCAGATTCGTCGTTGGCATGGTTATTCAACCAAACTCATTGCGGGTAAACATCCCCAATCCAACCCATTTTTCCTGGGTTAAACCAAAGTAGATCTACCCCATTCGAAATTGCTATCAACCACTAAAACCAAATGAAAAACATCTAAGAATTTCCGCACATCTGCAACGCTCGAGGCACCTGGATGGATTGAGGCGGTTCTTTCGCTTTTTGTCCTCGTTGCCAGTTTGGCTAGCAGATCCAACTAGGATGCGCCGGAGAATCCGGCAAAGTAATAAGCATCATGCTTGCCGTCAAATTGACATAACACAGCATAGTGTTGAGGAGAAAAGAACTGATTATGCGAACGAAGCCGAAAACTGACACAGAAACTGGAACTTTGACGACAGTAGAGAGTCGATGCAATGCATCCACGTCGCCTGCTCTCAACTACCATGAACCACCATATACCTGACGACAGACAACAGCAACCCGTTGCCTCCATGTCTTTGTCATTGTCATCTTTATCGTCTTCATCTTTGCCTCCCCACACCTCAAGCGGCGGTGGTGCTGGGAGCCAATCATCCGAGTTTTAGCAATGCGGAAGGTTAGAACCCAGAAAACCCAGAAAATGAAACCCAAAGAAAGTAGCACTTGACAGCTTGAACATGCTAGCACTCCTGTTAGGTATGGATATTTGAGTGTGTTGTTCTTTCATCCGATGTTCCGAGTCTCAACACTGTCTGTTGCTCAAACATCACCAATGGCGCCTATCCAGAGTGCATTTTTGATGAGACAGGACCCTTCTAAATATAGCCATATGGCCATATCCGTGAAATCCCTTCTTTGATCTGGGTGTGTTGGTAACTTTGGTTTGTTAGTGACATAGCGATGTGTCGATGATAATCACCCAAGAAATGTCAGCGATCCTCTCGTGCCAACTACTTCAGTATGCCATTTTTGTGATTGAATGTACAAGGTTGCATCAGGTGATATATCAACTGTCTAATTTTCAGATGTTACTCGAAAAGTTGTTGGTTGTGCTCCAACTTGCGTATCTTTCTGGAATTTCTGCTCTATGTGAAACAAGCACCATGGTACACGAAACAAAACGTGCACAATTTATAGACGATGCTCCCGGTGAAAATTCTTCTGGCAATCGGTTGCGCCAAATGAAGTAATTATCAGTGTCTCCTATCCAACAAGCATCATGCAACTGATATTCTTAGTGATATCCACATTTCGTCTCCTGAATCTCCCCACTCGGTCTTAGCCAAACTTCGCCAAAATCATAAAATTGGTTTGCTGGTGGTCGTTTTCCATCAAAATCAATCATAAATATGATTCTGGTAAAAACACAATCCAATTAAATCTGATGAGATTTGTTGCAATTGTAAACTCACTGACCCATCAAGTTAGGTATTTCATCAAATTTGGATTTACTGGTTCTTTGGGTTTTTTCTTTGGGTTTTTTGTCCATGTCTTTTCAACCGTCCCCAGTAATGAATTAAATTGGTTACATCCCCAGAAAACTATACCTGCATCTTCCAACGTATGTAACATTGCCTTTTCAGGAACTATTGCTGGCGGCATGGTTTCCTGCCTCCGAGCAACTTTTGTATATTTCTGCTTTTGCATGTGTTTGCCGGTTTTGAAACGGCGAACAAAAACCCACGCAACACCGAACCCAAAATATGGACACTGAAACGGAAAAAAAACTGGAAACGGCGAAATTCTGGGTCACCGGCGATAATTATTGCTGTTTCGAATTTCGAGGGATAATTTTGCATATAGTAGGTGGATTATGCAGGTATACTGGTTTTCCATGGATCAAACATGATCAAACCATCAGTTGGTGCCTCGTTTGCTTGCGAGAGGCGCAAACGATACTGCTTCCTGGGTGTTACAAGGGCTCTGGAAAACATGGGAACAAGTGATCTTTCTGGCATTTTTTCACTATAAGACTTATAAGACTATATATTTGAATGGGGATTCAATGGGATCATATGATTCATTTGCCTATCTCTTTTGGGGATGTGGGTGAAACCAACCAACCATGAGATTTTACGCAACAAAATTGGAAGGTTTGGTGTGACCATCCACGCATATTGCATCGGAAACTCACCATTCAGAAATGGCTTCAGAAAAGATGTTCCGGAACTTCCAGGTCTTCAGTATTCCAACTGCATACTTTCTGATCGCTATTAGGGTGTCAAGGTTGTCCCTTTTTTCTGGCGATCATCGTTTTGGATTTTAGGGCCATCCGGGCTTTTTAGCAGAGGACCTTACATGGCCAGAGAACCTTTGTTTGGACCTTACCTATGTGAAAGCAGTACATCTAGGACTTTTGATACTGGTAAACATACCAAAAGACGTCGAACAACCATTATTGTCTTAGGAAAATGCTCCACAAATGGTGGATTTTCCACATCTTGGGTTGCGGGAGGGTAATTTTTGCAGAAAGGGCCTAACAGTTCCCCACCTGCCAGGTGAGGGTCTCTAGATTTTAACAAAGGTGCAACCTTCTTCCGCCTCCTCCTTCTCCTTGTCCTCATCTCCGCTTCCTCTCTCTCTCTCTAAGCTGGACGATCAAGCGAGCTCCGGATGCTGTGGAGGGCGCCTGGACCCGAACTCATGCCAGAGAGAAGACCGGATAGAATGCCAGGTAAAATGCCAGAAAGAATGTCAGAAAGAATGTCAGATAATATGCCATATATACTTCCTGATGGTATGTCAGAAATTATGTCAGGATAGTGTGTCAGGGTGGGGACCCCTCGAAGAAAGTAATTCTTAATGTCTGAGCTTTTCTTTCTGGTATGTGTTTTTATTCCAACTACGGCTTGTCGTTTTTGTCAGCGATTTTCCAGAGGGTAACTTGGGTCAAAATGGTCCCCAAGGACGATCGTGGTGTGATGATGGACATGGAATGTGGGGTGTTTCACCCCAGGAGATCCACAAAATTCCACGAATCTTGTGGGGACAAACTCAGTGAACACTCCGTCCCAAACTGGAGGAAACCTCAAAGATATCATGCATCAATGGATATCAATGGTCACAATGACATGATCTTTATGGTAGCCAGTTTTTAAGAGATACCCATGACACATGTTGAGATGAACGCACAAAACCGAACAGTGAAGAATATACAAAAGAGTAAGATGATAAGCAACCAAATTTTGGGGGTTTGAGACCCATTCATACTATTTTACAAGACTCTATAGGAATAGTAGCCATTTGAGGTTTACCATCGTGAACCATGATCAAGTTCAAGCGCGCAGAGTCGATCACAGGGAAGGTGACTAACATGGCCGAATCATGTGGTAAACCCAGCCGAATCATAAGGATTTACACCAGTTACTTGCTGGGCACCGATGCCATTCTGCCCACGAGGCTTTCGGCCTTGGATCGGGTGAAGAGACGATTGGTTTCACCAAAGGAGCTTGAGAAAATGGTTAAAAAAGTAGCTCGCAGCTCAGTGGTGCACATACTGGGAAAATGCTAGATATTCTATAAAAATGGTGCCTCAACGATGGGAAAGAGGCAGGTTGGTAGATTTTTTGCTGTGGTCCCCTTTTTTTCAAATGTGTAGAACCACGAGGGCAAAGTCCATGTGATTTTGAGGTGTTTGCATT